CAGTATCTTGGTTATTTTGAAATACCTCCAATGTTGTTGAAAGTCTCAATGTTGTTGCCAGTTTCCCCAGAATCCCCCAAGCAAGCCAGTGCAGCGGTGCCTGCGCTACGTGGTACGGACGCCCGCCAGCCAGAAGATAAAACATACCGTCGTGTTGACGGTCCACGTCACCACTTCGCAGGCTATTTTGTTTGGCAACAGTCGGCCGTTTGCGCAGAATGCCGAGTTTTCTCACCTCTTTCTTTGTGAGCGGGGTTTTAAAGCCAAACGCGCAGTGAAATGCGCGAGGCAACTAGAGTTTAATTTTGTCATAAGGTTAGTATGACTTATGCCCATGACACGAAGGTAGTTTTGCTAAGTCTACGTACTGAGAAGATTGCGTGTTGGCATGCGCATTGTGACCTTTAACTGGTAGATAATTGTGCCTATACTATAGTAATTATCAGTGCAAGGGCTCGAGCAGGGTCTATGTCCCCCAGCGGTTTAACTGGCCGCGAACACCCATGGTTGTCCGGCTAGTACCTTATCCCGGAACATACCCTGGTCAACTATCAAATACATGCGGACCGTACCTCGCCACTACCTCCGTAACGAGCTCGAGGGAGTATGCTACGCCTAATCCCTACACCTAACCCTAACCATGACCAGATTGGTAACCATTCAGATTACCACGCGATACGTTCCGGCGGAGTAACCCTGGGGGACATAGACCCCTCTCAGCAATAAAGTACAGTAATCAACTTCGAGTGGGAACATATATAGCTGAGAGAGTATATTTATACCTCGCATACTATCCACTACACCTACACCTGCCACTACACTATATTAGCACTACACGTGCAGCTACAACTATGATACACTACAGATGACTACACTCATCTCATCTACACTCACACTCGCACCTACACATATACTTTACACCTACACCTGCACTACACTACTATATACACCTACTCAGTGCATACACTATATATACATCTACACATGCACCTACCACTCATATACACCTACAGTGCGAACATCACACCTATATTACACCTACAGTGCACTACATTACTGGACACTGCACTGCATCATATGACATTAGACGTCTCTACAGTCACCACAACCACATCGCAGCACAGCACACCACACTGCTCTCATTTACATCCCCTGCGTGACCACTCGAAGTTTGTTGATGTTTCAACACCACCGGAGGGCGCCACCTACCTGGGTTTCTCTTCCTCCTTGGGTGTCACTTTCACCTGCAGGCTTCTGGTACGAGCCTTCGCCTGCTTCCGGACGCGTTGAGCGGCCCTCGACTCGCCAGTTGTCGCGACGGCTCGGCATGATCACAGTTCAGCCTGTTAGTCCACTCACATACAGGATTCTGACCCTGAGCCGGCAGACAGGACAGGTAGGGTAGGTAGGTAGCTAGGTAGGCATAGGTAGAGTAGGGTAGTAGGTAGCGTAGGTAGGGTAGCCGTAGCGTAGGTAGCGTAGGTAGCTAGGTACGGTAGGTACGGTAAGGTTAGGTAGGTTAGCAGTAGGTAGGTAGGTAGGTAGGTAGGGTATCGGTATGGTTAGTAGGTAGGTAGGTAGGTAGGTAGGTAGGTAGGTAGTAGGTAGCGTAGGTAGGTTATGTGGGGTAGGATAGGTAGGGCTAGGTAGGTAGGTAGTAGGTAGGTAGGTAGCGTAGGGTAGCGGGTAGGTAGGTAGGTAGGTACGGTTGATATGTTTAGGTAGCCCGTAGGTAGGTTAGGGGTAGGTAGCGCGGTAGGTAGGTAGGTACGAGGTTAGTAGGGAGAGGTAGTAGGTTAGGTGGTAGCGTAGTGTGCGTAGGTAGGTAGGGTAGTGGTGGTACGGTAGGTGGTAGGTAGGCTAGGTAGGTAGGTAGTAGGTAGGTAGGTGGTAGGTAGGTAGCGTAGGTACGGTAGGTAGGTCAGGTAAGGTAGTTGTGTGTGGTAGGTAGCGATCGTGTGGTGTACGTACGGTAGGTAGTGTAGGTACGGTAGGTAGGTAGGTTAGTAAAAGGTAGGTAGCGTAGTGATAGGTATGGTAGGTACGGTAGCGTTAGTCAGGTAGGTATGGTAGCTGTAGGTAGGTAGGTAAGGTAGGTAGGGTATGGTACGGTACGGTATCGGTATGGGTACGCGTAGGTATGGTAGTAGGTTAGGTACCGGTCAGGTAGGTACGGTAGGTTAGGGTTAGGTTAGGTAGGTAGCGTAGCGTAGGTAGGTAGGTAGGGTAGGTAGGTAAGGTAGGTACGGGGGTTAGCGTTAGGTAGGTAGGTATGGTAGGTTAGCGTAGGTAGGTAGGTAGGTAGCTAGGTAGGTAGCGTAGGGTAGGTAGGGTTAGTCGGTAGGTAGGTAGGTACGCGTAGGTAGGGTAGGTAGGCTAGCGGTAGGTAGGTAGGTAGGTAGGATAGGTAGGTAGTGTTTAGGCATAGGTAGGTAGGTAGGTGTGTGAGTGTGGAGGATGAGTGAGATGAGATTACTGACTATAAGTGTGTATGCTAGTGTTGTCAATCGCGTTGTAATTTCCTATCGATCATCGGTTGGCACCAAGTAAACCGATGATCGGTTATCAATCGCGTTACTTGGGTGTTGAATGCAGCTGCGTGTGCGTTAGACGCGTCGGTGCTGTGCATGTACGTGTGTGCATTGGTTGGTGCTTGGTTGGGTTTTAGCCCTGGTTTACTGTTTGTTTGCCACTGTTTCGACTACTGCCCGTTTGTGCTATAATACATGTATGTTAATAATAAGTGTTCTGATAATCTTGCTATTATAGTAGCGATGATGGGATCCTCTGATTCTCAATCACTTTATCCAAGTTTTACATTTATTTCGAGGCGAGATTTTTTTTTTTTTCTTCGATAGGAAACTCGATTATTGGATTTTGATCAACCAAGCGCTTGTCGAAGCCACTGCTTCAACGAATGGATCAGTATAATCGTTGATCGTCACTCACTAGTGCTATTGCAAACATGAGAGCGGTGCGTCGTGCATCCGTATATGTTATGTTCAGTGTTATGTCGCTTCAATACTGTGAGCGGGACCCACTACACTAGATATCATGAATAAGAATAGTGAATAATCACGATATACTATTATATATAGAGAGAGAGAAGGTAGAAGAGCGAGACGAGAGGAGAGAGAGAGAGAAGAGAGAGAGATGAGAGATGGACCGAGGAGCTGACGAAGAGAGAGAGTAGACGAGAGAGGACTGCGCTCGCGGGATCCTTGCTCCTTCATCGATTTGCTTTAGAGGAGAGAGAGGAGGATGAAAAAGAGGAAGAGTGATTACGACGAGCACAGGCCGAGCAGGAGAAGAGAAGAAAGAGAGAGAGGAGAGAGATGCAGAGAGGTCGCGGGAGGAGAGAAGAGGAAGCTAGGGAGAGAGGTGGAGAGGGAGGTGGGAGAAGAAATAGAGAAGAGGAGAGGGAGAGGCTGTGTTATAGGTAGATAGATGGCTTATTGGGTATTATTGCATCAATATATACATATACTATATTAGTGATATATTATATTATATATATGGTTGACCCATGCTCTGCCACCGCGACAGCTGCTGCCTGATACCTTTCGTGCGGAAGCTGAGAGCCGGTTCGCTGGAGCGGCTGCTGCGCATGAGGGGAGGTGACAGTGGGGAATCCGCCATCACCTCCCCGCCACCACCGACACCTCCTCCCTTGTTGAAGTCCTGCTTCTCTCTCTCCGTCAAACCCTGATATCTGAGGATGGAGTAACAATGCCATGCTGAACTGACCCTGGCATTAGGGTCAGGGTTAGGGTCAGGGTCAGGGTTAGGGTCAGGGTCAGGGTTAGGGTTAGGGTTACGCAAGGATAGGAAGTCATGATATACCCGAGGATGACGACATTTGATATACACAAACAATATTTGATATATACAGACAATATTTGACATATATACAAACAATATTTGACATACATACAAACAATATTTGATATACACAGACGATATTTGATATATACAAACAATATTTGATATACACAGACGCATATATGGCATCCCATATACAAACAATTATTTGATCATTACACGGACGACAGTATATGATATATCAAACAATATTTGATATACACAGACGCATATATCGAATATTATACAACAACTATTTGCGATATACACCAGATTAATATTTGCAATCGTACCAGATGTTATTTGACAGATATACAAACAATATTTGATATATACAGACGATATTTGATATATACAAACAATATTTGATATACACAGACGATATTTGATATATAGAGATGACATTGACGACACTCACTTTTCCACGTCCTTCCACGACTTCATCTAACTCGCCCATCTCTCCATTCCTTCTTCTCCTCCTTCATCCTTCTCCACGCTGGGAGACCTCTTGCAGCTTCCGGTGCGGACTGCGGCCGCCCTTCCGCCCGCCGCGCCCCGGCCGCCGCCGCCGACCGACGGAGGCACGTCAGCGCCGTCGGCTCGTCTGCGTTGTTCTCCAGGCAGACACTCCAGCACCTGTTGCCAATGACACGTGGTGGACCGTTGAGCGGGAATTCTACCCCGATGCACGCATGCACCGCACGCCCGCACGCTCACGCACGCCTTGCACACACGCACGCACACGCATGCACACGCACGCCACGCCACGCACGCCCACGCACGCACGACTACACACACACACACGCCACACACACACCTCAGTGACGTCTGCCGGAAAACTCACCTGCCCGGGAGCAGCTAGTATTCCACACACCTCACAGGTAAACACACCTGCCCAAGGTGTATGATTAATACTATAGAATCTAATTCATTTAATTTAAAATGATCACTGACGTGCAGGCTATTAATTAGGTGCAATGTTTGTACCAGGTAGGTAAAGGATCTGAGAGGTTACCATCTCCATAGGTGAACACACCTGCCTCAGGTATATACTTAGTACTTTAGAAAGATAACTGACATGCAGGCAATTAATTAGATGCAATTGTTTGTAACAGGTAAGTAAAGGATGGGAGAAGACAGATTTAAGGCCTGAACCTAGGTAGCGTGAAGGGATGGGAGAGAGCAGCATTAACCTGTACCAGGTAGGCTGAATGGATGGGAGAAGAACAGATAACACGTACCAGTAGTGTGAGGATGGGAGGAAGACAGATTTAACCTGCTACCCAGGTTAGGTGCAGATGGCTGGAGAAGGGACAGATTAAGCCTGTACCAGGTAGGTGAAGGATGCGAGAAGACATATTAACCTGTACAGGTAGGGTGAAGGATGGGAGAAGACAGATTAAACTGTACCAGGCTAGCGTGAAAGAGATTGGGAGAGAAGACAGATTAACCGTAATGTTATCAGGCTAGGTGAAGGATGGGAGAAGCAGCCGTTAACACTGAACCAGGTCAGTTGTGAAGGATGTGGAGAAGACAATATTTACCATTAGTGATTAACATGTACCAGGTAGGTGAAGGATGGGAGAAGACAGATTAACCTGTACCAGGTAGGTGAAGGATGGGAGAAGACAGATTAACACGTACCAGGTAGGTGAAGGATGGGAGAAGACAGATTAACCTGTACCAGGTAGGTGAAGGATGGGAGAAGACAGATTGTCACGTACCAGGTAGGTGAAGGATGGGAGAAGACAGATTAACCTGTACCAGGTAGGTGAAGGATGGTAGAAGACAGATTAACCTGTACCAGGTAGGTGAAGGATGGGAGAAGACAGATTTACCTGTACCAGGTAGGTGA